ACTCAAAACTTTTTTTTAAACGCTACCTGAGTTTAGTTTTAGCTTTAGTAGGAGTTTTAAGGCACTTGGAACACAATAAGGTCATATAAGTGCCGAAGAGTATAGGAGTTACAAGAGAGTAACAAACACAAAAAAGAAGGAGGGAAGTAAGTTTGTTTAAGTAAAAGTTTTACGGCACTTGCAACACAATAAGGTCATATAAGTACCGAAGATTATAGGTGTCACAAGAGAGTAACAAACATAAAAAGAAGGAGGGGAGATAAAGACGAAGATAGATGTTTGATAGGAAAGAAGAAGCCGAGAGGGAAAGTCAAGAAATTGGCCCTACTTGTGGCGCCCTCCAACCACCCCGTAACGTTTCTACTCCCAGCCAGTCAATTTTAACTAATGAGAGGTCCAGTAACCGCATCCCTCACCTGTCCCGTTGCTATGGCGATCCCCGGGACCAGCAGCGCAAAGAGAGAGGATGAAAACATGCACCATGCTGTTCCAGCAAACAAGCGCGGAGCGGTGTGTCGCGTCATTCCATGTCAGAGCCTGTTTCAGCGAGGTGCAAGGGAATTGTGCGCGTGTCTGTTTGTTTGTCTGTTTGTTTCTTTGCTTGTATGTGTTTGCTTGTTTGTTTGTTTGTTTGTGTGTATGTCTGTTTGTTTGTTTGTTTGTTTGCTTTTGTGTTTGTTTGTGCGCGCGCGCGCGTGTGTGTGTGTATGTGTGTTTGTGTGGAGGGGGGGGGTGCTGATGTCGTGCGCGTGTGAACATGTGTGTCTACGTGTCTGTGTGTGTGTGTGTTTATGTATGCTTGTGCGTTTGTGAGTATGTGTGTGTGTGTGTGAGTGTGTGTGTGTGTGTGTGTGTGTGTGTGAGAGAGAGAGAGTGTGTGTGTGTGTGTGTGTGTGTGAGTGTGTGTGTGTGTGAGGGGGGAGCATGTTTGTGTGTGCGAGAGAGTGAGTGAGTGAGGGTGACAGAGAGAGAAAGAAAGACAGAGAGAAAGAGAGAGAGAGAGAGAAAGAGGGAGAGAGAGAGGGGCGGAAGGACAGACAGACAGACAGACAGACAGACAGACAGACAGACAGACAGACAGACAGACAAATTATATAAACACACAGAGCACACACCTTTACACATGCATACAGACCCCAAATAAACCGTAAACACACAATAAACACAGAAATAATTACTCTCCTCCGCCCCGCCCCCCTTCCCCCCTTTCTCTTTTCTTCCTACCATACATACGTACACCCTGCAAACGAAAGAGCATTAGGGGCTAGCTGTCCTCAATTCTGTCCGCCCCAGTCATAATTAAATTAGTCGTAAGACGAAACGTGCTGTTGGGCGCTACGAGCCTCGAAAGGCTAAAAAGTGACTTTCCATGAATGTTTCTCTATTCTGATCTATTGAAAATTTAATGTCTTCTACTTCATTTAAGATATAAAAAAAAATAAACAACGATAATCGACAATAAATATTTTATTCTGATGTATTCTTGAGGTGTGTGTGGTTTGTTGTGAGCTTGGGTGACAAGATAAAGGAATTTGGACCTCATAGTTAGATAGTTAGAGCCATGCCTATGATGATCAGTTCTTGAACTACGTATAAGGAGGTCAATTTTCTTTTAATACTCTGTGTTAACTGACTACGGTTGGACTGGGTATGTTTAGTTTTAGTAAAACTTTTACGGCACTTGCAACACAATAAGGTCATATAAGTGTCGCCAAAGATTAGAGGTGTTACAAGACAGTAACAAACACAAAAAGAAAGAGGGGAGATAAAGACGATAAATGTTTGATAGGAAAAAAGGGGCATACCACACCAGAGCACCCGCCAATCACCCACGAACAGGGTACACAATAATTAGACATTTCAGCACACTCAGAAAAGCGAATTTTAGAAATTGGACGTTCGTGATTTTAAAAAAAGAAGTTTTTTTTAACTTAACGCTTGGCTGCAATGACTAAAGGCGCGTGTCCAGTTTGCACTCTCCAACAATATTATGACGGTAATTTTACTTTCCCATCAACACATTTAAGATCATTTTGGGAAACAGGCTTCGACCGTGCTAACCCGGGATGAAAGACAGGCGATAAAAACTTTCCCGCAACGGGAATTAAACTCGGGTCTTCTGCTTGTGATGGCAAAGCGCCAAACCGCTCCACCCCAGACGCTGGTGTGGGCTCTCGTGGCTTAGAGGTTAAGGTGTTGGCCTCTCATTCAAAGGTCCCGGGTTCGAATCCGTGTAGCAAACGAAACATCTTCTTCTCTAAAATTGTCTCCTTTCACCTCCTTTCCTGCTCTCTAGCAATGTTCTGTCGTCTGCTTTCGTCTCCTCTTTCTGCCCCCACCTCCTCACCTCCTTTGCCCCTCCTCTGGGCTCTTGACTCTTTCTGCAGCCTTTCTACTGCTACTCCTTAGCTCCTCCTTACTGCTGTCTTTCAGCCACACCCCTGATCTTCTGGTAGGAAAGATCAAGACCTAGCCTTCTCGGACAAGGGCGAAAAATCTCGGAGGGCCCGTGTGCAAGTCACGAAGGTTAAAGATCCCTTGGTGGTCTAAAATCGATAAGAGTAGGCTTTGGCCGCCACCCGGGGAAATTCAAAAGAGAGAGAGAGGGGGGGGGGGTCTTGCAGAAAACTCAAAGGCAGTATAAAAGCGACAACATCTGAATGTTCTATGTCTCGCTCTAAATGAAAAAGTAAGCATTTATCTAGAATAGAAATCGAGATATTTGCGATTAAAGAAGGGGACAATTTGCGAGGAAATGCCCATGGTTTGAGAGTCCTTGGAAACTGAAAATTTACTTTTTTTGTGTGTGTGTAAAAGTCTTCAATCAATGTCAACATAACAGACTACATATATTTACAAGTCTCAGGACAGGAAAACTGAAAACAAGTAGAAGACAACAGCTATACCAGACCCACCACCTACCCGCAAGAGTGAAACAAACCCAGAAAACAAAATCTTGGGTGCTAAATTCAAGTGGGACGTCTCTCTGTTATTTCATACCCCCAGGGGCGGTACTACTGACTGAAGTGTCTTTAGTCCATTCCCAAAGGGGGGGCATTAATATCTTGAGTTCTTATTTATGCACAGTAGAATTGTAATTGTAAATGGGCTGATTCATCAATGTCACGCTCATTTTACTGTCCCTGAACTGCAACAGGGAACTGCTGCTTTTTCTTTCCTAATCCTTACTATCGTCATTTTCCTCTACTTATTGCGTATGTTTGGCGCACTCTTGTGGCCCGTTATTTCCGGGGTGCCTTGAAAGTCAAATAAGTCTTTGTGCAGTTGAAGCTAGAGAGGTGAGCAGAGTAAGTCTAATTCCCTGTAAGGACTTCTCTGTTGATATCCAGCCCTGGGCGCTCATATGACCGTATGCAGTTGCAAGTGCCTCTACTAAAACAAAACCTGTTATTTCCGAAACGGGAGACGGGAATGCGGAAGGTGTGTATTGGAGTCCTTCCAAACGGTAATTATAGACGAAAATGTTTTGAGTTGTTTTTTTATAGACCGAATTAAAAACCAGGATGTGACCCGTTTCTACAGATCATAAACAGCGGGGGGAACTTCGATAATATAGTTCTAAACACGGCGGGTCCGGAAAACACAAAGACACACGTTTTCCGGTGTTTCAGCTTTAGTTACAGGAAAAGTTGTGTCTAGAGACAAAGAGAAGTCAAGCTGAAAGTCCAGCGCTTGGCTTTTTTTTTAAAGAGTTTTGCGCACTTGCAGCACAATAAGGTTATATAAGTGCCGAAGATTAGAGGTGTTACAAGAGAGTAACAAACATTTTAAAAAACAAGGAGAAGATATAAAGAGGATAGTTTTTAACAGGAAAGAAGGGGCAAACCACACCAGAGCACCCACCAACCATCCACCTAGTGCTTGGTAACCTGGGCGGTATTGTCCATTATGAGCGACTTGGTAATGATTGCCTTCCTGTGGATCACACATCGAGTTGTGACAGGTGTTACTAAATGCCCCAGTTGGAAAGACCTGGATAGATGGAGTCAGGGAAACACTAACAACTCACGGCATCTCCCTGACCCAAGCTCTCCGGCCAGTGGCAGAGAGACGTCTCTTTCTTCCCGGGACACCCAAAAGGGTATAAGCGGCGGATAAAAGTAAAGGAAATATATTAGATCAATGTAGATCTCGGTGGGCTGAACGGAAACGGCATCCTGTTAAAGGTGGCAAATTGGGCGGTGGATATCAAAGGCATGAGGTGCTACAAGAGAGTAACAAACAGAAAAAAAGACGTAGGGGAGATAAAAGACGATGGATTTTTTATAGGAAAGAAGAAGCAAACCACACCAGAGCACCCGCCAACCACTCACCCACCTTTGTCTTAGTGTGACCTGGGGCCGGTTCAATCAACGCCATATCTGCCATTGAAGGTTACTTTAGATGGCGTGAATTCTGAATTTCACATCAATCTCGGAAATGACCAGGCCGTAAGTAAGTGCAGATTCGAGTCTTGAAAACCTACTCTAAATAAACGAACCGTACTCCAATACGTCTCGTTTGTGTTTCGAACAGTGTCATCCCCACCACCGCCCAGCACGACACTAAGAAATGTATGGTTATGTGTTTATGAAGTTAGTTCATGTTCTCTGCACGTTATGTGGTGTACCCCATATTATTTCATGTTATGTCGTACCTGTATCATTATTCATTGTCCCTGTTCATCCGTGTTCACAGATGAAATCTTGTTTTAGTAGACGTTTTACGATGCTCGCAACTGCATAAGGTCATATGAGCGCCAGAAGATTAGAGGAGTTACAAGAGAGTAACAAACATAAAAAGAAGACGTGCAGATAAAGACGATAGATGTTTGATAGGAAGGAAGAAGCAACCCACACTAGAGCACCTGCCAACCACCCACACAGATAGATCAAATCCTCATCTACCGTTTATAATAAATGAACTACACAGAGAAGTCTTTTCTCAACAGAGGTAGGTAACACCGTGCCCCATCCAACCCCCAAGAACAAGTGACTTACCAGAGCTTGTAGGTGACAGACTAGAGTATAATCCCAGTGCACTAGATGCTAACGTCCTGATCGCTATTCCTTCACTGTGTTTCTTTTTTTACAAGTGTACAAATCCTCACACTTCGTGCTTTTCTCCTTGTAGAAGTCAAAGACGTGCGTATACAGGACGTAAACGTTTTCTGTAATAGAAAGACAAAAAAGTAAAAATGAAATTAGCTGTTGAGATGCTGTTGTTGTTGTTGTTGTTGTTCTTGTTCTTGTTCTTGTTGTTGTTGTTCTGGTTCTTGTTGTTGCTGCTGTTGTTGTTGTTGTTGTTGTTGTTGTTGTTGTTGTTGTTGGTGGTGATGTTGTTGTTGTTGTTGTTGTTGTTGTTGT